GTCGGGCTTTACTTTAGTGGCTGTATGTTCAGTGACAGCTGGTATGAGAACATCATTAATCGCGCGCTCGAGTGGCTCAAATAATTCTGCAATATCCGGTAATATTCTTAGGAAATATGTCCAGCGGTGCCGCAGACCAAATGTGAAGGCTGCATAGTAGGCTTGAGGCTGTGATATGGCGAAATCTGCGAGTTTAGTAACTTCATTGACCCATTCGTCTACTTTCTCGCTAACATATTCTTCAAGAAACGATCTAGATCCTAGAGCCGCGCCTAAGTGCTTGTGGCCCTCTATGGTGACGTTAACAGTGGTGTCTCTAAACACCTTCCTGGCAGCCTGTTCTCGTTCCCGTTTGATGATCAACCAACATTTCTTGGCATTAGGGAAGTAACCCAGCGGAGGGCCACTCGCTGATAGTTCATCACACCATATCATCACGTCTTGCAGGGAACCACTTCCGGTTGCGTCATCAGCAAACCAACACTGTTTTGCTGCGCTTGAAACGTGCAGTCGCGTTATGAGTGGTTGGAGACTTAATGAAAAGACGCGCAGGTTGTCTATAGGTGTTTATCACGTAGGTAGCCAGGGTTGGACACAGCACTCGGATATCATGTAGTGCTGCAGCTCTGTTCAGGGCGTTAAAGGCGTTTGATGCATCGATTAACAGAACAGCATCCGTTTCATCCGCATCGAAGATACTGCGCATTACATGAATTGCAGCTACACTTCCGCTTTTGTGCCCTGCACAAACTTGAAGAGAATCACTTGCTTCAATGACATCGGGCTTTGTCACGTGCATAACATACTTTCCCATTATCCTCCGTATAACTTCTCCGAAACCGATCGGCCGGACAGCGCCCTCTCCTTTGTCCAGGGGGATGAGTCGATTCGCTAAAATTGCCTCAATACCAAGAGGATCGATAAATTCAGTGTACAACCGTCGGGTCATTGTGGCTATTGCTGCGCACAGGTCTGTTCCAGTTTTCTTGAATGACTTTGACGCGAGAATTCGCCGGAACCCATTCGCATCGACGCCTGAGGGACCCCCAGAACCTTTTGTTCGCAGAGCCGCATCCCGTACCATTTCCCCATTTATCTGTTGGTAAATTGAGTCTGGGACATCTTCGACTGGCCCGAAAAGCAAAGATCCCAAACAGGCTTCCTGTGGACTTGGATGTTTCTCTCTGAGCTGTGCCATGACGTCATCATTTAGAGCCCGGACACCCCCTCCATTGTTTTCACTTAGATAACGCAAGGCCGTGTTGATTTGCCCTGACATAACAAGGTTCGCAAAAACTCTTGCTGCATTAGGTGGATCAACCCTCCGAGAGTTGCATGAGGCGCTTTTGAATCATCCGTCCTTCGCGCAGCAATATGTCGATTTCTCCCTCTTTCCACAGCACCAGTCGCTTAGCCAAACACTCTTCGTGATCCTTAGCCTTTGATTTCTGGCTAGGTTTTTGTAAGCCGACTGCAAGAAGTACAATTGCTGCTTTAAGAGCAATGGGCTGCATTTTTGATCCATTGTTTCAACCGTTTATATGCTCTGTCATCTTATCAATAAACTACCTTCCTACTTTTCCAAATGGGACAAGAAAAGTGTTTCTCCGCCATTTTGAGATCTCATTAATAATAATAATAATAATAATAAAATAGATCATAATTATAAAAGTAAATTATAATTATCATAAAAAATTTCCTAGAATCCTTTGAGGCGATTTTTTAAAAAAGATTTATAACTTTATGACTTTGACAATTTTGTACGTAGAAGATTGTCAGACCACAACAAGATAGACACACTGAATTCTGCAAAGCTGATCTTACTACGTGAAAATTAACTTTGCAAGACATCAACACGACACCGAAAGAACCAAAACCAGAGCGGGGTCGTAACCGTAGACAGCTGTTTCGCCTTTTTGGGGGCTCGTCAGTACGGCGCAACGAAAAGAGAGAAACCAAACGAACAACGTTTTGCGGCATATTAGTTTGCGATCCTTTGCAGTTTAAGTGTCAATTCACAACAAGAAAACATTTGCCATAAAATGTCTTCCCGTGTCACATTTAAGGTAATGACGTCATCAGTCACGTGGCTATTTCCGAATTAGTTTGTTGCTGTGACAAGATCTCATTAACAAGTTAAAAACAAATAAGCATATAAGCATATTTGAGGTTTTAGATGCGTGGGGCATTTAAAAAAAAACAGTTGACGTCAGGCATTTAAAATTTAAGGGGGTAATGAACATGAGCGAAAAAGTCGGGAGACTAGGCCGAGGGCTGTGGAGAGTCAACCTTTTATCACATGCCAGAGAAAATTTGCGGGAAAGTAATGTTCTACCCGATAATTTTTTTCATGGCCAATAGAGAGACATGACGTCATCAGTCACGTTATCAAACCGTTTTGAATGTTTTAGTTCGTTTTTAAAGTACCTTTTTTGTCATAAATTGGCACGTTTTTGTTGTTTTTTCTCAACAATTCTTTACACTGTATTGTCTATGAGTAATTATTATTCCATTCCGACCCTAAAGGCCGAATGGTTTGCCGCTCTGACCTAAAACAATGGAAATAATGATAAACAATGTTGTGTTAATGTTTTCCCCGACCGATGAAAAGACACCTTTCGAGCAGGGAGAAAATCACGGGTCATACGGTTCAGTCGGTAGCCGTGCGATCGATAGTTCATAAATTTCTGAAACGTTCCCCGGCATGGACCAAGCCTGAAAGAGTATAAATGGGTTTATTGTGAGCTTTACGTCTAGCTTCGATCAGTTAAAGATTTACATTGCAATTCTACACGGAAATTAAAAAAAGCCGAAAAAGTCATCCTTGAAAACTGTCAATCAACATAGAGAGGGAATATGGACCTCTTTTAAACCAGTATTTCCGGCGTTTACCGAGGTGGTCCAATGGATAGAGGCATTACGTTTTAGTTCTAGCTGATTCTGGAGGTCTTGTTTCGAATCCCCTTGAAGCAATTTCTCGTAACCTTTTTTTTTTTCTTCTTCTTTTTCTCTCTTGTGGTGCATATAGCTAGTAACATAATGTGGTAAATTGAAAGCAAAGTTTACAGGAATATAAAAAATGCAGTATGTATCATAGCGCATCTAACTGTATTTTTACATATGATCTTTAGTGGACACTATGATCATTACCCAGCTCAATCGTCGATTTTCACATATGCCTAATTTAATTCGAGAGGTAACTGGTTTGAGATGGGACGTCTGAATCAACTACCTTCGACATTTTCGAATTAAATACGACTTTGTCGAATCTGCGACTGAAACAGTCGAAAATTCGACTTAGCTTAGGTTTAACATTTGATTTAGAAGTCGCATTTCACATGCACCGCCGTAGCCAGTATGAGGCGAACCGAGGCACTCGCCTCGGTAAAATTTTACTAAATACTGTCGATTTTTATTTTTTTTATCAGACTGATAATATTAGAAGATTTCATACGGCTGATTTCGTACAACGGACCGTGTGTTCGCCTCGGTTGTAGTTTCTTCCTGGCTACGGCCCTGACATGTGCGCGCCGGATATAATACATTAATTAAAGAAACCCTTATTGGATAAAAGAATTTTTCTAGAGACTGGAAATATTTACAACAAAGGGAGTTAAATTCGGCACCATCATATCCGACGTCTGAATCAACTGCCATATTAATTTACTATCATCGACGAAAATAGGTGTTCGGCACTCATAAGAAATTCCACGTTTGAAAGGGGCCTAACANACTGTCGATTTTTATTTTTTTTATCAGACTGATAATATTAGAAGATTTCATACGGCTGATTTCGTACAACGGACCGTGTGTTCGCCTCGGTTGTAGTTTCTTCCTGGCTACGGCCCTGACATGTGCGCGCCGGATATAATACATTAATTAAAGAAACCCTTATTGGATAAAAGAATTTTTCTAGAGACTGGAAATATTTACAACAAAGGGAGTTAAATTCGGCACCATCATATCCGACGTCTGAATCAACTGCCATATTAATTTACTATCATCGACGAAAATAGGTGTTCGGCACTCATAAGAAATTCCACGTTTGAAAGGGGCCTAACATGACATAAGTTTCAGCTGAGTGGTTTGTAGGCTGTTATTAAGTTGTTGTTTTCTTTTCAGTAAGAACAATTTGTATCTCTCTTTGTAAATCCATTTTATTAATCGGATTGTGCCGCGACTTAGAATCAGCTGTAATAGCTGATTTTACTTTCTCTTTGACATGATTTGTATGTCCCTGGACATGATTTGTATATCAAAAAGAGCGATCAGTTTTCATCCATCCATTTCAATAAAAGGAAATGGAATCACTTCTCACTATAGCAGACAACCTCGCACCGTGACTTCATCGTATAAATATGCGGCACCGAAGAAAGACGAAAAAGCTAACCCTTTTTTATCAAATTATTTTAAGGTTTAAACTCGAAGCTTTATATAGTCTAGTATTGATCACACATTTTGCCTCTGATCTGAGATCCCACGACTTTAATCCCCGATCTCGGGCTTGTGATCCCTTAGCCTCCCACGCAGGCATTTTTTGGGGAGATGGTATTGGTCTATGTGAAAATGTTGAATTTAGAGTTTGATTTTTTATCTCTTCGAGGGCTTTGATTTTACTTTTTTCGCTGGAGTCGTCGAAGTTTGTTAGTACCCAGAGTTTAGTTTCGTCTGTGGCGCAGGCTAGAAAAAAGAACGAGATACGGCAGACGCTGAGTCCAAGGCTTGCAGGGGTATACCCCATCAGTGAAGACCCTCTTGAACTCTCATACACTCTCCTCTTTAAAGGGACTGTGACACTCTTCTGGGCATGTGCGGCATCTTGATTTCTGCTCTGGTGAACGTTTTTTCTAGATTGGCTTTTTGTGAAGAATCCTCTTTCATCGACCCTGAGACGTCCGAGAAAGCCATAATATCAGTATTCAAGAGCTATTTGGTCCATTTTGGAAGCTTTAAACGCCATATTTTGTATTTTTGTGCAAGCATTGTCGAGAAAATTCGAAGTCATTGAACAAGAACGCTTTTCGATAGCGTTAAGTCTCGCTTGCTTGGAGATTATGTAAGAGATGAGGAGGCGATTAATTCTCCACGAAACAGGATTTCTTCGCTAAAAGTTTTTCACGTCGTACTTTATCAATGTTCGAGTAATCTTCGGGATATTTACTTTTTATATCGTATTCGACGATTTATTTCTGCACGCGTCCATAAATACACGAACGTCAAGGGCCTCGATTCGAGAGAAATTACATCATTGCCAAAGAACTAAAACGTGATGAACTTGGCACGTTATTTCAATCATCGCCGAAAGTAAACCGCAGGTTACCACAAGACTCAATTTGCATACAGTGAAAGTTTACAACACCCGACCAGTTACCCTCACCATCGTAGTTTTGGTCAGAAAGATTCTTCTTTTTTTCGGCCACTGAAGTAGTCACCTTTTCTACAGTAATCAACGCTTTTAAGTGATATAATTTGTGAACCGACCCGTTCCGCAAAAGCTCAACATCTTTCTCATCAATCTTGGAGCTCTGACACATCGCGATTCTTATCCCCAGTTTTCACAGTCTCCGCTAGGAACGCCTAAGACCCCGCGCAGACACGAAAAAAAAAAAAAAAAGAAAAAAAAAAAGGAGCCCACCGGGGGGCGAGAAACAAAGTGTAGCATTTTTAAGGTTCTCGCTGCGCCAGCGCCCCCTCCTATTCTCCCGCCTCCCCCTCCGCTTTGTGTAGT